GCTCAGTTACTACTGCTCACCTCCTCCCTGATCAGCGTTCTTCATTGTGATCATGAACGTGGCGAAACGATTTCCGAATTTTCTCATCAATGTGTCCCCTTCCATCCCATCTCCATATCCGAGGAAATCATGGCGAGGAGCATAGTGCTGATTTTTTTTGAAGGTGAGCACCTAAGAAGAAAATTTGTCTGATAATCATTTCGCAAAATTGAAAATTCGTTGAAGACAACAATAGGTCGGGTTCTCATAATAAGGTGGACTGGAATATTCGGAGGAAGTCTTTTCGCTAGCTGGAATTTAAATGTATGTACGAATATATGTTTAAAACCATTGAGATTCCGAAAAGGCGATTTGGGTCAGGAGATACCGGTTGCGGTGGGAGGTAGGATGCGTAGTGATTGATATGGTGCTGATACCGCCCGGTATACTTAGTTTCAAGCGGGTCCTGTTCCTCACGCTTTGGTCCAGAGTTAATCGAAATTATTCCTAGGATTACATTGAAGTCTCACCTGCCATGGGTCGCTCGACACGAAATTCATAAACGGAATGAGCTTCTTCAGCCTTTCGAATAGCCTTGCAAAGCTGGGCTTCTCTTTGTGCTTGAGCAAGATCTCAGTGGCGTGAAGTTTGACATCAGATCCCTTCTTCCTTGCCTGAAGTCATAAGTAACAACTTGCTAACTTTTCTTCTGAAATGTGTCGATAAACTGTAAGTGATGGGGTCCAATCCTCGAAGAGCTGCCCCTGGGAGCCGCTCAGTGAGCAGCTGATCGTGGACAGTCGAATGAGGCGACAGGCGGCAGGCCGGCCTACGAATATTCACATCAAATCCTTATAGTAGTGACGTCATATGATTTGCGAGATCCGCTGGAACCAACGCGCACTCGCAAAGCATGACGAGATGGGAGGTATACCAGGGGCTCCTTTGCAAGGACGGCGTAGGGGGCAGCTAAGTTAGTCCAGAGTCTCGCAACGTATGGAAGACTCACGTTGAAACGGCAAATAACATTAGCGTGCCGAAGGGCCGCTCGTACAAACAAGCTGAAGCTCTAGAGTGCAGACGAAACGATTCGGAATAATTGTTTCTGACAACTTAGGTGACTCGGTCGTATGCGTTGATCGTTTTAGAACCGCCTAATAAAGACTAATGACGTTAGTGAACGCTACCGATAGTAGTACTTCTCTGCAAATACTAGTTCTTCTCTGCATATGTTCTACATGCTGGCTGCTTCGACCGAGACGCAGACGAGTTCTGGACCATGTTCGATGAAAAGACAATCGCCCAGGCTTGGTCATGCCGAATTTGGAGCGAGCAGAAAGGCTTATCGTCTAAACAGCACCTTTTCAAGTTTCATCAACAGTCGTGGCCGCCGGCAACCGAACGTGGGATATCACGGCCGCCTCCTTTTCCTTCATTTCCCACCACGTGATTCTCGCTGGTCCACCGCTCGGTTTCTTTCAATTTCGGAGGAAGGGCCTTCAAGAGCGGAGCCACGTTGTTCTTGGCGATAAGACAGCTGACAACTGGTTGAAATGTCATGCAGCTGAAAATGAGGCCTTCGAGAAGCTTCATAGTGTGCAATATGTTTTCGCCTCGCTAAAGACCGCAATCGCCAATCCGAGATCATAGAAAAACTCTTCGGCATCAATGACGAGAATGGTCACCTTGATGGAGTGGAGGAAAGCAGTAAAGCGATGGCAGCGACTACTCTGAAAACATCTCAGTAATGTTCTCATGTAGCTGTCCCTTTTCCCGCCAATGCGTTGTCCTGTGCAGGAAATGATCATGGAGGAAACGAAAGAGGCCCTGGAGAAGATGGATCGAGTGCAAGCAAGAGGCCCTGATGATCTGACGACCGCATATGGAAGTCAAAGTGTTGGTGTCGTGTTGAAGGGTTAACAAGCTCTTCAAACCAGATCGTAGCAGAGAGGAAGATGCCTGAGAGTTGCCCGAAGCGTTAGACTGACGATTCGGAAGAAGGAGAGACATCTTGACTGTAGGCTGGGAGCGAGGTTACTGTCCAATCAGTCTGCTATCACACGATTATAGACCTTCAAGCGAGAGCTGCTATTCGTGAGATATTGTGCACTTTCATACCGTGTGAGGGATTGTAGCCAGCTGCCGCCACTGCTCGAATCCTAATGAGCTCGTCTGCTGGCGAACAGGCACCAGAGACCGCCGTTTGGACGCTTTCCTAGGCGACGCTCTCTAGGCTCTTCAGGTATCAGACAAGCTTTTGAGAAATGTAGTCAATGGTTAAAGAAATTTCTTTAGGGGGCTTCTGCACAATGGTATGGACATCCGCTCGCGCAGCGCATCGATAGGTGTGACAAATGGCCATCAAGCCTGGTGCCGATTCTGGCATCAACCAAAATCGCTTTTGGAGAGTAGACAAGCTGGCTTGGGTATGGAGAGGGCCGGATTTTCACGTACTTGACCTAGCAAACTAATTGGGAGAACTCGTGCTCAGATTTCTGGAAATTATTGGCATTTTTTTTTAGGGCGGTAATTTCCCATAGGAGATGGGGGGGGCTTGTCTATCTTACAATGTCAGTCAGAATCGAAAGATTGACGGAGAGGCTACCCATTGCTAGCTGTGAACGATCTGAAGGAAGATTCGGACGAATACACTGACACATTTAGGTCACGACATGTCGGCGCTGTGTCTTCGTTCTCAAGCTACAAGGATCCCCAATGCAGTAGCTTAAATCCGGCGTGCTGCCGGATTCGCCCATATTTTTCGTCGAACTTACATAGATTACGTCTCCACCTCTTCTGCCTCGCGTCGCTCATTAATACTGGTGGAGGAAAAAAGCCTGACGCGAGAAGGACGCAAATTAACACCGGATTTTCTGACAGAATATCTCTAATCGTTCTACAAATGCGGTTATAACCCCACTTACAATTGCAGAGAAGGTTGACGCTGCCTTTTGCGCTGACGCTGTGGTGGTCAAATTATATTTTTGGGTTCACAGATAAACAAGATAAAAATAAATTGCAAACTGGATGTGGGTTGTTCCAAAAACTTTCTTCACTAATCTGATAAAATTTGCCGTCTTCGTTTGACGTGAGAGCACTCGTTTGATTTCAATGTTCGATGTGAATCCAACACGATATAGAGAGTTAATTTCTCTTTATTTCTCCCATCCTGTATTGATAGAGAAAAGCGTTCGTCCCATTATTCATTATTCGTATACAGGCAGCCAGTACGGGGCTCACTGAGCTTTTTATTGAGGAAGTCTCACCTTCAAATTATTGTATAACATAAAGAGAGCACAAAAGTTCCTATGTCAGAAATTATTTTGAAATGTCGAATGTTTGATGTCTCCTTTCTTTCTTTGTTCAGAACGTTGAAGGTTGCTGATGATGCTCCATTAGGACAGCAAGTACATGAGATTCTATACGTTTAGCAGTTTTAAATATCCTGTGCGAGAAGGCCTTCCACATTAGGTATTTTCGGAACTAAAGCCCCGATAGGCTAAGTATGGGTTGGATAAGGCCGCATAGTTTCCAAGTTGACTTACTGGCGTAGTATAGAAAATAGGGAGGGAGGCAAGCGAGACTCGTCTAAAAAAAGCAAGGTAACGTTTTTAGGTTGTACTTGGGTACAAAATGAATAAGCCAATGTAATGTACGAAAAATCATTTATGCGTGCTCATTATTTTACCTCCGGCTGCATCGTATCTAAGGTCTTCATGTCCTTCCTCCTCAGGCTAGCATTCTTTCGAGATTACTCTTTCTCCATTGATCCTGGCGGGAAAGTCTTCGTTTGATTTGGGCATCTCGGTTTGCTTTTTGCGCAAAACCGCTGCACTGTTAAGGAGTGAATAGGTTCGTTCGGCGGTCCGGATTATGATAGCCCTGGGATGAGTTTGTCTTTCCTTTCCTTGAGAGGCCTTCTTTAGCCAGATCTAATTTCTACTGGACTGGTATTTTTTCTGTAACGAGTTTCATCTATTCTAATTTTCAGTATAACGTTGCCCTGGGCCAGTGTTACCTTGAAAATACGCTGTCCGCGCGACAGCGTTAATTGCGTATGTCTGGAAAAATACCGTATTTTTCTCCACGGAGGGCAATTCGGTGCTTGTATGAAAATGACATGCATTGTTAGCGGTGGTGCCCATAGCCCCAGTTGACGTTATCTTATCCGACACTTTTTTTTGTTTTCGCCGAATTTTCGGATTAACTTCGGTGAGTTTTGATTTCAGACCTGACCTGATGAACGAAAGGATATTCATTTTTGGCCTGGCGTTCAGTGATTAGACAAATCTAGTAACTTGGCAGCACCAGCTTGCAATCGTTTTGGCTTCACAGGTCCGGTATCTTCAATGAACTCGAAGACATTGCACCGGTGTTGTAGTTTGTATAGGAGCTGTAAATTGCGCTGTTTGCCTGCTGGCCCCTCTCCATTGCTTGATTCGTTACAAGTAAGGATGGTCTTTGACGTATTGTTTGCCAAAGTGATTAACTAAATGGCGATGGTGGCTCATCGCTGGAGACGGTTCCTCTGTAGAAGTATTTCTTTCTTCGTTTCAAATTACAGCGAGTGTCAATTTCGGAAAGCTTCAAGGTCACTCACAAGGGGCTTAGAATAATCTCACGAGTGTTCGGTGGAGCGTAGTAGATATGAGGACAAGGTTGGAGGTTGCGACCTCCTCTTTTTGAGCCTATGAAAGGTGAGCGACAAGAGGCGCTTAGTCCGCCCAGATCTACGGCTTCGTCCGCAGGGCCTCGCTTCGGAGCGGGTTGCGTATACAGATGTATCAAACCATGTGGTCAGCCAATTTCATTCCACCATCATCCGGATCGACTAATTTTCGTAATTGTATGGTCTTTAACCTCAGCAAAAAACTTACGTAAGAAAAACACATCACAATGTAAAACGTTACACAAAATTATAATAGTTATTAATAGGTTATCCGATAAGTAATGTCGTTTTCTTCAGATGCGAATGTTGTCCTCTGACATTAAGCTGCAATGCTATCCATAATGTGGAATATGAATACTGTTAAATTTATACGAAGAAGGAAACTGCCTGCACTACAAATGTGGGCTTCTTTGCATTCACAGTAAAACTTCGCTAGACTCAGGCTTGGCGAGATTTTCCGTCTGCAAAATTAGCAAGTGCTCAAGCTCTGATTCCACTATTTAGCGAAATCGAGGCACGAATAGCTTATGGTTAATACAGTAGTATTTATACCTCTTCTGAAAGCTTTCCGCTATTGATTTTCTTAAAAGCCTTATTTTGCTTTTGTCTCAAATTTTGTGTCTTTTGGTGGCACCGGTAGGAACAATTTGATGTTTTCAAACTAAAATTTTCCATCTTTTATCCGTCGGCTTTCACTTACCTAGAGTAGGTTTTCCAAAAAACCTAACAAAGACGCAATACGTGGTAGATTAGAAGGAATCTTCCAGCGGACCATGGACAGGTGGGCGAAGCCGGAATGTGGTTCTGCGACGAAATGCATGGTAGGTACGGAGCCCCCCCGCCCCCCCCCCCCCCCCACCAGTTCATGGGAAAGTTCGAAGCTGAATTCTGTCACATGTCGTGCGCTCGAAACGTGGATCCATAACTACCATTGCAATTTCGGTCACAAAAATTTTCCGGTCCCGCCCACTGGTCCATGGTCCGTGGAAGATTCCTTCAATGAACGCTCTCGGACCGTCTTCTCTGCAACTGTGCCTTTATCCCAGGCTTGATTCTACGAGCAGGTGCAGAAGCGTTCGCTTTCGAGCTCAACTTGCACTCGTGAGCGTGAACTATCTGTTTTGCTCACCTGTAAGCTCCACCGTTAAGCAAATACACAAGTGTTGTATGTGTAGTGTGTACCAAAATGTACAAGGGATTGCGCGCTTTCAGACTACATCACACTATTTAAAAATAATCAGCAAAAAATGAAATAGCCATAAGCCTGTAAAATATCGCGTATAATTAATGCGCAACCTAATATTTTCATTGTGAATTGAGACGAATTTTAGGCCAGCGTCATTAGGTGATCTGCCACAGGAATCACATCACTTCGAAAAATGTCCCTCAAAAAGATGGTAAACTCAATTCAACACGCATTCTACACCCACGAATTCCTTTCAACAGACCGTCAGTGTTTGAACGTCTCGTTGGAGAGGGTGGATTTAAGTGCGACGAGGTGGTGGCCCATCATCGAGTTCTGGATGAAAAGCCGAATTGGTTGGGCAAACTAATAACGGCATATTTAGAAGAGGTCATGACTAAGCACATGGAACTAGAGGAACTATTTTATTTAGAGCTGGTTGCAGGTTTCACTGATTTCGTCAACCGGACCTCCCACTCACGAACCTAAAATTCAGTAAGTTCACAAAGAATATAGATTCTTTTTTGGATGGTTACAACTTGATGTAAAAAAAATGGAACGTTGGGGGAAAAATTTCCATCTGAGGAAAAACGACATTATTAAGCAGTAGGATGACGGATAGACTTGTCTTGGAGCACACTATTAAGCCCGTAGTTCCTCGCATTTTATTTCACAGGCGAAATTGCTATCAAATAACACCTTTGTATGGAAGTAGAATGCGTGGTGCATCCCAAAAGAGCACGGATAACGCCGGGTACCCTCAAGGAGGCCCGTCGCGCGGCAAGAAGGCAGAGTCGCGGACGAGTAGCAGCGCGTGATGTGTGATGTAGGACGCACAACGGAACATTCTATTTGACCTGACGCGAAATCCCTACAGTACGCGGGCAACTCGTCCGCTAATCGCCTTCTTTTCGCGTGACGGGCCTCCTGGGGGATACCCGATAACGCCGAACGCTTCCTCCTTTATTGTTATACTATGTATACATATAAGTGGGGACAATAAAAAAAGACATTTTGTCTCCACACTCAGATGGATTTAATCACACTCTGCTCAATTTAAAACCTACGGTTCCACCTCAGTATTGAAGAGTACATTACATTTTATAGGGAATCTTTATAATGACCACCTACGTTGGCGGCATCAGGAAAATTGGTCCCGGAAACATAGTGCTCTGTCGAGCTCATTGGGGTCATCAAAGGATCGTATACCATAACGACCTGCACCGGTTTCGAAAGGGGGGGGGTTGCATAGTGGGAGCTAATGTCACTACAAAGCTATCCAACATTGAACAGATTCACGAAATTGTGTAAGAGCTCCAGGCTGAAGCAGTTACGGTAGCCCTTCTTGAGCATGACGACGATGACAGATCGGGTCATATTCTGGAGAAGGTGAGGGCAGTGAGGCAGGGTTTGCGCCTACTTATAGAGGTACATTCATGGAATATTTTGCTGAGGAACTTCCGTCAGAGACGGCAATCTCTGCGAAGAAGAAAGGGCCGAAGACCGACATAGGGAAAATGTCTTTATTTTGCCTCCACCCCCCCCCCCTGTATGCGCCATGTCGTGTGTCATGAAACTCATAGCACTCGTTACAACAACGGCGGAACTCTTGGCTGATTTTCAAAAGCTCATATGGACCTTGAAATGGTGGGTGATAAAATATGATAACCACCGACAACAACTGGTGCATTTGATAACAAAAACAGCAAAACAAGGTATGTGGTGTGAAACAGATACATATTGTTATGGAAGTAACTAATAAGTCCACTTACAAAATGAAAAGGTTTTAAAGATAACTATGAAATATGAGAAGCACGCAGGTTTGGATCACAACTAATTCGTACGGTTGCGAGGAAATGTGAATAGACAAGTTGTTTCGGATTCAGTCGCTGTTTTGTAGAAATCAATGATTGCCCTTAATAAAAGAGGCTTCATGGGGCAAGCCAGTGTACAGCATCGGATAATACACGGTTCACAAGGGATGACTATTCGATGCTCCCTGCAGCTCATGTTTTCCTTTTTCAAATGCAGGGACGAATGGAAAGCAAGTAAATCCATCGCTCCTAAAAAGATATGTTCCGTGGTCTGGTCGAAGTTCCACAGGTTCACAATATGTAGCTCCTCCAGTGTTGTGAATGCTCAGTCTGATCGCTTTCCGTCGTCCCTGGAAATATGCGGAATTCCGAAGTTCTTTCCAATGTTGGTTTCCACGTGTATTGGGAGTAACCCGTGGTCGTTTGGTTTCCTATAGTGTCCACTATATGACACTATGGGAAGGGTTGATGCAGCATACTGTGGCACTCAAAAGTCTTCAGCAAAACACTTACAGCCATAACTTTTTTCTGGCGGGCGGAATTATACGAAATTCTGACATTTTTTTGCCAATACACATTGTAAGCGATTTCACAATATTGAGCTACGAGCGGACGAATCCGCTCGATAGTTTTTTTGCGACCACTCTTCGCCTTGGCGACGTACGCTTTTTGGAATGCACACCAACCACCTTCGTGTACGGATGAGGATCCGCGATGGTCCACAGCATCTTGTTGAAAAACTCTTTCAAACGCAAAATTGGAGGTGAAATGCTATTACAAGCCTACCCAGACGCGATGGTCAACAGGGTTGTACCAGCAGCACAACAGAGCGCCTGAAAGTTAGGTCTCAAAACAGCAGAACTTTCAAGAGACATATAGGCGACCCACCACAGCACCAATTAAGTCTTCCCAGATGGCTACGCTTATCTGATCATTTGGATTTCACTCAGTCGATGTGGGAAGGACGGGCTTAGTGTAGCTGCAAATTGCGGTGCTTAGCAGCCCGCGTGGCCCAGGGATCAAATCCTGACTCGTAGGCGGTCCTGACATAGAAATCACTGCGTCCATCGGAAGTAGAAAATAAACACTTTGGCTGGCTCTCGAAAGTCATTCTATAGGACAAATCGCATTCAAAGTCACCACGTTTGTGGATGAAAGTACAAAGCGTGGCGCGCCGCGAACAAATATTGATTACTGAACCATCACTATTCATTCATATGTGTGAAGAGCTTCAGAGACACTGTTCAAACAAACCGGGGAGAAACCACAGGAAACGCTTGAGAGACGGTGAATGAATTAAACGTCATGCCACCGCTACTATTTATCGGATAAGCAACTTGTTTCATCCTGCTGTGTTGCTGTCATGAAGAGGCGTAGTTTTCCGACCGAATATTTATTTATTCTAGTGTTTAGGATGTTGAGAGTTTCAATTAAGTGGTTTTTAACATACCCATGATCTCAGCATTTGTCATTGTTCCTAAGATTAGCACTAGAACAGAACGTGCTGCCGACAGAACCAAACTGCAACCAAGCACTAAAAAATGTCTTTCATGTCGTTAGGCTAGACATAACAAAACTCGAACCAGTAGAAAAAAGGAGAGGCAGAACTTTGAGGAACTTCGAACTCTGAGAACTTGGAGCGCTACATTATGTGAAAAATGCACGGTTAGCTCATTTGTACGCCGTAATAGGGCCACAGAAGGGATATTCGCACGATTGGAACACCGAACTTCCTTTTTTGTGACTTCCGTGTAGCAGTATTAACGAACCGTAGAACTCTGGAACAGTTCACTACAACTCAGAATGGAAGTAGGAGGTGTGGCGCACACCTATAGGAGATTCATGGAATTGTTTTCGGTGAGGGGCCAAACTCCAGGAAATAGGCAGTAGCCTACCGAAAACATGTGTGTGGTGACACCCGCCTCCATCGCGCTCAGTGAGGAGAATTGTTCCCGGAAAAAATCGTGATTCTGTATCACCCACAAATCACTGGCTTGAGACCACGATACTCAGACAAGTCTGACATCGATACCCATGCAATGCTGTACCACCATTACGATCGTTGCTGTCGGATGATCGACTATGTTTGCACCAGAAGGATGGTTCACTGCGGGCAAGTTCAGACAATTCGTCCAACACGCGCCTCCCCTCATTGCTGAGGGACAGAGGGGGACTCCCTTTTCAACGCCGTGTTCGGCGTTTTTCTTCAGTTTTTTCTTTACTATCGTTAAATTTCCACCTAGAACTACATTACTAACGATTTTCACCAGGCGAATTCGGTCTGGAATTGTTGCCTTAAAGATCGAAAATGTAACTAAAAGGCACGGTATTTTCCCTCAGAAACTCGTGCACACTTATTATGGGAAGTTTCCGATTTATTCAGCCGAATGCTGCAATTGTCTGTCATTTGAATCCCACTTCTGATCTGAGCCTCCCTTCGCAAGGCTAGGTAATAAAATGCGTTCAAAGTTAATTCACCGCTTAGTACGACAAGTCTTAAGTTCGAAATTAGTCATAACAATTGATCATCGTTCACAAACGGAACGCATGTGTTCGTATTCGTAGAACTCTCAACACCTCCAATTGAAGGAATTCTTCACGGAAAATCATGATTCTAATTCAGCCATAAATCACTGGCTTTTGACTCATTATCTACAATAAAAAGAAAAAAACAGAAATATCGCTTTTGTTTTGGTAGAACATTCGAAAAAATCTAAAGGGTTGCTTTTACAAATGCTGGCGACGGGGACGCTTCCCCTTGTCTTGCAGTGTCTTCACTAGAAAATTTTCAGGCCTCTTGACTTACTTAATTCACATCTCACACTACTACTCCATCCTACTCTATCGATCGACCTGTCTCTACTCTCCCAAGTCGCGCGCTTTAATTCGATTCTTTTATTGCGCCTGATATGTATAATACGTAGCCGGCCAAAGGCCAACTTCTTTCCATGCCTCGCCTTTGGCTCCGCCCGAATTACCTTCGATTGTCCATAAAGTGTAATTTCTGTACGTTTGCTTCACTTCGTAAACCGAATCTTCATGCGTGAAACTTTGTGAGCTTTTTACAGTGATCACAACTGACGAGAAAAAAAAAGAAATTGCGGCCTGATCTGATTCCTTCACGACAACCTTCGTCCACGCACTACAACAGTGGCCCGACAGAAGTAACTCGACTCTGGATAGGGAGTGGGTAGCCACTTACCGTACAGCCAGGATACTGGTCCAACAGACTACCACCTTTTCCTTTCGCTATCAAATGTCAAGAAAGAGAAGACGCGTTTGAAGATGAAGATGACATGAATCACTGTTTGAGTAACTTTTTTGGATTGAGTTCAGGGCAGTTTCTTGCTGGAGGCGCCGAAGTCTGCCCGAAGAGTGACAGATTGTAATGGTGTAATTACCTTGTTTATTCATGTGTTTTGCTTCTTTCGAAAAGCTAGTAAAACCATAAGTGTCAAAAACCGCAAAGGCTTACCCTACACCCTATATACTTATTCAAGTTACAGGTTTTTTCCGACTTGTATACAATCCAGGGATACAGGGCAACTGTACTTCACAGTACGAGAGTTTCTTTGCACACAGGACAATCATTAGCGATATACGGCTTCTCTGAATTATTCTGAACTATGAACTCCTGATTGATGTTTCCTTCTACTGTGAGACAATTGAGACCTGATTGATGCGTTGTTAATTTACAAGTCGAAGAAATCAATTTTCGTTAAGGAAAGGGGTACATTGTCGTTGATGTTTGCTCGTGTTCCGCCGATTCTGACTCTCACTTTCTTCTCATAGTGTGGAATGTGATGCCGGTGATTCTCCATTCCAATTTTTCGACTTTATATTCAGTAACAAGCGATTAATGCCACTTTAATCGCTTGTTACTGAATATAAAGTCGACAAATTGGAATGGAGAATCACCGGCATTCCACATTCCACACTTTAAGCAGTCATATGGGATCCTGCTCTTCATTTAGTGTCGAGATGAGTTTGTTTTCTGCAGTTTCGCTCCAAATTGCTGCCCGATCGTGTTCGTTTGCAAATTTACGGCAATTGTAAAGTTCAATCCTCGCTCGTATTTCGGTGGCTCTTTTAGTAGCAGTTTGTTCTGCCGGCGACCTCACTTCGTGTTTCTAAGGTGAAATTATGGCTTTTGGCCTCGAATATGAATGTATTGGTGCAGAAAGGGCCGGCAATTGAAAGAAAAGGAAAGTAGCCGAAAACACTCACCAAGGGCTTCCTATCTTCAATGCAGCTGTACTAAAGCACTGAGAAATTGAGGTGGGGAAAGGAGAGTATGAGGCGAAAGAGCGCAACAGATGTAAGGGGACCTAAGCCGTTTGGACGCGATGAGCACACGAAGTCAGCGAGTCGGCGTATTTTGATGTTCCCGCCGCAGTCTCGTAAAATCTAAACTCTAAATCTTATAGTTTTTGTTTCGATCAAAAGTATTAGTTTAAGCCGAGACATGCGCCTTGCATTTGACTGTCAAAATTGGCGGAAACATTCCGGCCAAGCCAATATTTCGCAGAAAAAAAAGCGGATCCCGTCACCGGGTGGGACAAATGCTAAAGAATAAGAAGAAAGATGTAATATTTCGCTAAACATGGGATTTTAGCCCGAACCCCTCTCCTCTGCAGAAGAACAATGTTACTCATCGGAAGATAAATTCATCTGCTATAAAACAACTAGTTTTGCTGCGCCCGCTATAGCGGGGCTAGAGTGTCAGCGCCTTCACAACGGAGACGCACTGCGTTATTTAAAATATGTATGATGAATGGCAGATTCATCCGTTGTGTCACCTGATATGGAGATTTCATTACCACGACGTTGAGCAATTTTAATTCCTGAAGGAATGTGTTGTGAAGGATCCACTGAAAGGCGAGGCAACTGTTAACAACTTTGAAGTCCTAATTTTTGACCTCTGTCACTCTATGTTTTCCGCTGTCGCTTATGTTCATTTCTCAGTTGTAGACTATCTAGCTGTAAGCGGTTCACTGTCCAAATTACAGAGTGGAGCTATATCAATAGTGCACATGTATTTTGACGCTTTTTCGGAATGAACTTTCATGAATGACATGTAGTCGCGAATGTTATTCGCCACAACTAGGTGCACTAGTAACTGTGCACGACCCCGTAGGTGGCGCTGTCGAGGATTCTGCGCCCTGACAGCGTTCATTAGCGTATCCTGTTTGTGGGCATTTTCGCCACTTATCATCAATGTTCCCAAATTCATAACCTTGATTGTTGACAATTCGAGCTCTCCCTACTTGAAGAGACGAAAAAGTACGGATTCTAATTGAGCATTAACCACAATGAGGTAAAATGGATGTGTTGGCATCGGACGAATACAGCGGATTACTGTTAGCTTGCAGATGCTATGATGGTTACGCTGTTGGTCCTTTTGCTGGCACATTTAATGGGTGAAAATGCAGCTGGATCGACAACAGTTTCCAATCTTTACTTTGTCGGCAAGGAGCACTGGAATGAGGAAGAGCTGGACCTGTGCGAAACCCTAGGACAGTTGAATGAATGTAAGCAGTATACGTAGTTCATATGAACTCACGTAGAGGAAAAGCTGGTAACAGGACCCATTACATTTCAAGACGATTGATGATACGGAAGTAGGTCAACGCCTATCACTATTGTACTGCAGGATTTTTTTGATTTTCTGCTTTGAAAACAATTCGAATATTAGACAATAATTATTTTCACAGAAAAAATAAAATAAGTTAATAAAATCAATAGGAAAAAAGCTTGCTCATTTGGAGAGATGTCAGTTATATGATACTACATCAAATGTCAGAAATTCTGTCCATCCCATTACATGTCCCTAATCCTGTAGTTGCTAGAAGGCCCTCTAAGGTCCATAGTGAGCAGATCATAGAGGATGTAGGGGTTGATTGCTTGAGTGCGCAGAATTAAGGTGTACTGCGTATCGACGAAGTCATATATGGTGAAGATTAGTGTGAAAACTATAAATCATTCATGAAATCAAAGGTAGCGCATCATGAGATTACGACAATTCTGTAATGTGTGCTGACCGTTTTGCTGAATTTCCAGGATTGTTCATAATCTACGATTGACGATTGCACCCAATATTTTGTCGAACCGTGGACACTGCTCAAAAGCGTAAACTTCTGCGGGAGAAAGCATGCTCAAATACAGTGAATTTGATCAGGAAAACTTGCAAAGTGCAAACAGATATTCAATTTCACAACGACTTCGAAACAGAATCAGTTGTGCTTTACTGAATGTTGATATTACAGCACTCTCTTGCTACTCCAGCATTATCAATTACCAGCGGATAGACGTTGAGGTGTTGAGCGAAGATCCTATTCTTGTGGTGTTCAGGAAATTTGCATCAGACAATTACGTAGCCGGTTTTCTCGCTGACGCTAAGAAGAAAAAGTATCATACAGCGGTGAGCCCCTCCCTTTCTTATAACTCTTATAGCTATCGCATAGAATCAATAGAAGCGAGGCTTGCAGAAGGAATCCATTCCTAAATATTCATTTAGCAAACCCGCTTCCTCACGTACAGATACCCTAGCATCTCCGATGGATCCACTGCTAGAGAGCTATCTAAAATTGCGACCGTATTAGGGTGTTGGGGAGCCGTCGCGATTAAGCAAATTGATATTTGGCCAAACACTTTTCTGACCATCGTAACTTATTTTTAGCAGAGCGAACTAAGCAAAATTTCAGTCTGTCCTATTCTACTGCGATAATTTTCGCGTATTGCTTGCACAATGAATGATTATATACCAGATACTATTCGATATTGAGGGTGATATCACAGTTAATTATTTCATCATTTCGATAGTCATTTTGTTCGAATTTTCAATTTTCGTTTGTCCCATATTGCCGCTACGATCAAAACAAAAGCACCCCAGGGTGAAATTTCTGGTGGCGTACGAATACCCGCCTACATGAAGACATCGGATATCGAGCTCATCGTGTGCTAAATCAGGAGACTGCATCATACCATGCAAAATTGACTACTCAAAAATTCTGACTGTAACGCTTAAGTGAATGGGAAGACCTCTGAGCTTCAATGGGAGGAGAAGCGTTACCTCTTATCCGAATAATCCTTCTGTTGGTGAATCCTGTTGATCTGTGAATTGTTATTTCAATTATACCCTTATCCGCGTAGTTTCACAGCCACACATGAATTTTGAAAACAAACTTTCCTCCGGGAAAGTCTGCAAATGTTTGTCTAGATTGCAATTTTTCACGCCAACACTGTCCTCACTTTGGGATCCATAAAAAGGTCTTTTTCTCAACAACTAGGATAAGAAAGAGGTAAAAACAGTCAAGCAAAATTCGGGTTCATATAAACGCTGCGTCATAAGAAAATCAAACCGTTCCATGAAGTTCTGCTGTTGTGCTGCGAAAAGAAACCTCTTTCTGAACTTGATTTCGGCGTCTGTTTGGCATGTATGACAGGATCCACATGACGCGACACGCATTGTTTCTGACAACAAAGCACCTCGAAAACTGAGCCAGTTTTGTTGCGAAGTGAAGTTGAGTCGTTTGAAGTAAGGTCTTTTTGGTCAGATATTTCTTGAGGTTTGTCTGAATTTCGTGTTTTGTTTTAAATGTTTCCTCAGTCTTTGTAGGTTTTTCCCATTAAAAAGCATAGTTTGCAGACATGCCTCCCTCTTGAAGTCTCGATCTTCCAGAGAGAGGCATGCAACCTGCACCACCGATAAACGCCGACAATAAAAGAGTTCAATACCACGAATATGGGTGGATGTACCTGATTTCGCAGAATAGGCAAAAGCAGCTCTTAAAATTAAAGCAGCAGAGAAAGTTCTTTTTTATTCAAAGACTAGATCTCAGTGTTGGTATGCAAAGTTGCGCTTGCCTTACCCCACCTTTACTTTACGTACTCACAAAATTTTCTGATGGAGCCTTCTCCGCATACATTATAAGAGGGAAGTTCTTGCAAAATTCATCGGTGGATGAATAATATACTATGAAGTGTGTGTGTGACGGTTTTCTTCCAGAGAACAATGCATTTTGATGTGCATAGAACTTGCAATCAATCATCATGAAGGTTGTTTGTTGGTCGAGGGCGCCTTCTATGCAAAAACGAATGACCCGTCTACAGAATTAGCGATAAAATAAGAGGGGACGCCGACAAGGACATGATGTTTGCTGTAGCATTGTCTTGAGCACAAGAGGACATGCTCGACGATTATTTAGAAAAATATTATACGTACTGCTACTATTTTGACATGCATCAATTTTTTTTGTAAACAACTGCTTTCTAGACAATGCAATCGAAAAGAATAATACTGGAGATCCAACGGGCAACACCATCTTTCGCAGCCTTTTCTGTACTGTTGAAACAGTTCACCAGAAACAGAAGACAGTTTTGTGTTTTATAAATGCGTCCTCACAATGCGCTGAAAACCGTTTTGAAAAATCGCGGTCCGTTTTGAGAGTCCCTCCTCCTGGGTTACTTTTCTGGTTGGCAACGAACCCATTTCAAAAAAAATCGGTGATAACCCAGTAATAAATCAGGTCAATCGACGATATTCTCGTCCCGCGTGTTGGAGTGTCCTCCATTCTATACACCATTCCCATTTAGCTGATCCGCAAGAATGGTCCTGAGAAAGACTAGTATCGAAACAGTGGGCTGAAAAGGCAATAAAAAGAGGTCACAGGTAACATTCGCATAAATCGATACCTCATGCCAATGCTTCACATGATTATATTACAAAGAAGACTGAGCTGTTTTCCGTTGTTCTCAATGGCTTTTTTCCAGGAAATAATACATCCAAACGGAACTTATTCCAAGCAAACAGTTAGGAGAGCCCGCGAAGCGGCATTCGAACATGAAGAAACTATTGGAGTAGCAAAAGTATTTAGGAGAGTGAAAGCGATGTTGCCATCTGTCAACTTTGAGATCAGCGAGCCATGGGCGGTAAGAGCGCATTTCAAAAATGACCTAACTGTTTTTGAAGAGCAATCAGCCAAAAGAACAATCACAGATACAGTGGGACACCAATACTATTACAAGCTTGAGCTTTGATAAGCGAAACTCGCCGTAACGTACTCCAGTTGATCAGCATATTCGTCTAAATTTCTCGACAAACGATCCATGATCTTAGTTTATTAGTACTTGCACACAATGTGGAACGGCTTCAATTTGTCGTCAAATTCCTTCTGAGATCTACTGTAGTTCAATTCCATCTGCTAAAAGAGGGCAAATGTTGTGGAAAAGCGTACTCATTGCATTGTAATGAAGAACAAGAGATTGGGCGGAAGCGTGAAAGTATCAAATTGACTTGAATATCACTTGGCTCGAATATTCGCGGAAGCATAAGTGATGTCCTCTCTCGATATCGATGCTGAAAACTTTGTAACTTCCCTTTCATCCGAACTCACTCAATGCCATATTTTCCACAGCCGCTCTTCCTCATGACGTTTTGCTGAGACGACCAAACGTCCATTTTTGGAGGGTAAGATTTGTAAGACATCCGGTTGAGTTGGACTTTCCTCCAACTTGAATTTTGTTGTGCCAGCCTATGCCATTTTTCGATAGCTCGGAAGACTCCAAGCATGGCAGTTTTTGAGCACTGCCTACGCAAACCCACGTTGCTGGTTAGAAATGACGAATGCAGAAGCAACTGGAGCTGCAATTAATTTTCCTGGCCCTAAAGCCAGGCCTACTTGCCACTCCATGAGCCATCGATCAATGATCCCTACACAGAACATTGACGCGAACACCAAATATAAACAGATTTTGGCGATAACTAAAATTTGAAAAAAACCGGGCATTATGTATGATTCGTCTTAACAAGACAAGCATCACAGAGAGAGAGCAGAAGAAAAGCACGGGATATTCAGGCAACCCTCGTAGGGTGCTCCAGCACTAGCTAAATGTGTGAGAAATCGGGCAGAGCAGGAGTGGCATCATCCATGGGTGATATCTGGTCCAGTGAAGGATTGTGTGGACGACCAACATGCCGTGTACTCCGCTGGCGTTCGTAAGCTTACGATGTTTGAGGATGGAAGCATTCAGTAGAGGGGTTTTCTGGCTTATAGATTGGATTTGTTGCTACTCTTATTCTATATCAATATCGTTTCATGTCGAACGAAGGATGATCAGCTGGCTCCCAAATATTTGATCCGGATATTAGTGAGTGGATTTGGCATTGAAAGCGAAAACCACAATGCCACTTTGAAGAATCGACAATGAAATTCTAAACAGTGGCATTCTGGCAGGGGAAGCCGAGACTCGTTCGAAGGAACCTATCTGAAGCAAACGGAGACAAGCGGACATGTCGTATAAGATTCCTTGCGCATTTCGTTACCCACTGGCACTGCATACTAGTTTATATTGGAAGTTGCCGTTGTTTTATTCAATCCACGTACAATATCCGATAATATATAAAGCCCATTCAATTCGTTGTCATTATATCCCACCCTGTGCGTGCTGTAAACGCTATCAATTTAGATTCTCTCATATAGACCTGGAGGACACTACGCGCTCCATTATGATTACCTCGACTACTCCTCGCCCGAAGAATGGGACTCATGGAGACGAGACTATGGTGATCGATTCGCAACTTTTCTCCTTATGCTCCAGCCAGCTACAAAAGGAGGAGGTTAGCTAGTGTGCTGTATAAAGAATAAAAGTATGCCGAACTATAAATTCGTGCTGAAGCCCACACGTGCTTTATGTTTGTATACCTGCAACTACGTACCTATTTATATTATACTTCCTTTTATATAACCACCCTTACCAGCTGCCTTCTGCCATGATGGACAACATTAGTTCGTGAACCATGTGTACCAGCTGGGTCAAAGTTGTGTTGCTTTGGCATGGATCATGTTGCATAAAACATGCATTGACTCAGCAAAGCACATCTTGCGGTGGGCAGAGGGCTGACCAGAGTGGGCAAATGCCAAAAAATTTCACGATTCACTGTGAAACTCTCAGTCATACGATTGCCTAGAAAGAATTGAATTCTTTGGAGGATGAGCAGCCTTAAAGAGTCTTACGTGCAAAAATTGAGCAGGATCCAGATTGTAGCTCGAAGTGGACGATGCCTCCTATAACAGAAAACGAGCCTGCATCGAAGGGCGCTGAGCTGAATTTAGGCGTTCTTGAAACGCCTCGCCTTTCTCTGCCAATCTCATAACTTACTCCTACAATTGCCCAATTGTCACCGCTTCTGTATGGTGATGCTCGTACATGTTCGTCCTCTTTTACCATGTCACCGCCAATTTCTTGCTGCTGTCCTCCATCATCAGTAGATCCAAACAGGTTGCTGTGAGTAATAATAGATGTACTATTATTAATTTACAGGAACTGTTTTTCCGTCACTAGGTACAACGGTTATGCCTTCATCAGGAGATGCACTTTTGTGGACTAACATGAACGCCAATGAAGAAGTGGTAAGAGTAAGAAGGTTTTCGTACATTTACGTTTTTACAAGACGCACAATTCTCAAACCTCAAAAGTTAATAGAACCTTCAAAGCTTAAAAGTTTAACTTCAAAGCAACGAATGGTGTGCTGAAGCAAAGCGCGTGGTGGAGGGTTATTTTTCGATCTTGGAACGATGATTCTAGGCTTTCACTTCTACCAGATATCCATGAAGCAAATCGAATTTTGCCTTCCACAATCTGCGCCTTTCAACACGATTATTATCATAAGCGAGGGCTTATTCGGTAAGACGCAAGTCCTAATGCTTGTGCTTGTTCCTTTTTTTTCTAATGGAGCTGATGTACTCTACCACATCACAAGTCTTTACCTCCGCAGGTCTGCAAACAACCATGATGTCTGTTTGTAAACAAACCGAAATTTCGTTCTTGTTGGCACATCTAAAAATACGATGCCGTACTCGCACAAGTATCGTAGTATGGTGCATTCGTCACTGCGTTAGCGGTCGAAACCCTGTTAAGGGCTATAGGCTTTAATATTCGAAAAAGTGAATCGCCGCCTCTTTTAGGGGATCACAGCTTACACGTAATCGGTACCATCCCGGTGTGATAAGCATTGCTCCCCGAGAATGCCTAATGATCAAAACCTTTCAGAATCTTGACAGTCTTCACGGCGGTTGCGCTGTCTGGGAAGGAGAGAAAATAGCAGCGGTGTTGTGGATTCGTGCTAATGGACAGGACCTTCTCAGATCTTCATATCGGAATGGCAGACTAGACATTGGGAAATTGATTCGTCCGCGTGTGGAGTACTTTGGGATGACCCGAGCCAACACATAGCATGACCGTGATAAACACTTGTACTTCCAATTTGTCTCGAATTTAAAAAAAATGTTTCGATGTATTTTGACAATTACCATTAGTTGGTACAACAAGAAGCTGTGGCCAGAGAATTAGCTATTATTCTTTCTTCTGGATGCTCATGGAAGCTTCACTGATTCCCTGCCTACGTAGGGAGCGCGATTTGAGTTTTGTCTGTAAGCACAGCACCTTTCTAGCTCTTCAAGTAGCAAATACAAGCCATAGCCTCTTACTTTGCATAGGGCATCCTTACTAATGCTTCGAAGAATAACCTTTCAGGAGAGATATTGTGATGCAATATTTTTTCTGAGAGCAAGTTTGCAAACGCTCAATTATTGGAAGCAAAACAAAGGTTTCATTGGTTTACGAACATCAGAGAGACCGTAATCCTACCTATGAAGAAAGATGATAAGACGAGGAACAAGAATTGAAAACCAAAACTTGATCATCAGCATAAATCATCAATACGTATGAATACGACGCGTACCGAAAATGAACCGCGTGAAGTCTTGCACACGTCGATTGTTCTTTTTCTGAAGGATAAGTGAGTGCCTTGTATCAATGTCCACAGACAAATTTCCATATAAATCAATTGTACTCATTAACAAATTGTATTCATTAACACGTTATGCCCCATGACATTACAAAAAAGCAGCAGTACAATTACTTTTACAATACATTGAGAGCAGCGATCAAACAAATAACTGTGGAAAGCGAGGGAAGGTAAGACCTAGGGAAACGAGTTTCCCCAATTTGAATAATAAGCGGCCTAGTCAAATTCATATCAATACTCTTTCGGGAAAGCACATTTATCAATCACTGCTGCACAACGATTCTATGGGTTTCTGGATAAATAAAGAGGACATAGTCTTTCTCTTTCTGGCAAGAAGATCTAATCGATTTTTTATCACTGCCTTGTTGCAGAATTCATCTGTCCGTCATGTTCGATTCTGCCCAACGTAAAACGTTCTATTTTATTATTTGCTTTTGGCTTTCGCCCGTCCTTTTCCAATACTTTCGAAGAGAGAGCTCATGCCGTTAAGCGAGAAAGCGCCGTATACCATTAACGATCCTTCATCGTGTTTGACAGCTTTAACATATCTCTGACTGAACCTCCTACTGTTGAATGCCTTGCACTCTTGGTATCATCAGATCCGAAGCAGTTGCTTTTGGCTGTTAGAAACCTTGCTCTAGCCGCTCAAAGGCAAACCTAAGCCACTGGCAGGGACCACGTCGTGACTGAACGTGTTGGGTCCGTACCTATGGGGGTCGTGTCGGCTTCACTGTACAAAATGTACTTCAGAATTGTTCTGTCCCGGAGTCTCATGTTGATCTTGTCAAAAAAGACCTAAGCTTTTGCACTCACACTTTTGCAATTCCGTAAAAAGTTTTAGAGTCCTTTGCAATAAATATTTGAAGTCTCACATTGTTTGTTGTGCAAAATGTGTTTGATGCGCTAGTCGTTACGGATCTGGAACAATCGTAACGCTCCCCACCTATCGCGAATGACATGGGGATCAGTCTGGTGTCGTAAGACATGCTCTCACGTACTTTGTCCTTTCTGGTCGCATTGTCTCTACGTCGTACTCATTCGAGCTTGCTGGAGCTATTCATTTATTTACTTATTTATACACCCAAATGAGTGCACCAATAGAGAGAACTTGGGGCACGAATAGAGCTACAGAAGAAATCATCCAAAATAAAAAAGTTCAGCCGAGCCAGCAATGGCAGTCCGCCGAATTCACAGTATGTTACGTTGGTGGGGAAGAAATAGACTCCATCTTTAAGGATTGAGCACACACGCCTCAGTGACTGAGCTGGCGGCCTTCGAGATGACGAAGCGAATAAGCCAGTAATCACAACCACAATTGGCCATGGCGCCTCATCCAAGAAGGAGTCATTGGACAGAGTCGGCACTTCGGCACACGGGTATGCCAACCTGTTGAGTTTACCTGATTCGTTGGACTGCCGCTAGATGTAACGTGCCAGAGCCCTTAGCGAGTTCAATTTGAGGATTGTCGTAAGGAGATGTTGCTATTTCGCTAGTTTTGATAAATGCATGAAATTGGTTTCAGGAAGAAGACACCACCCTTGTACCCTCTCACATAGTGCACAGGAGACTAAAATGGAGCGACTCAGAAAAAAGTGGATATGACCGCGCGCACGCGATCCTCGTAATTTTGGCTCACCCAGTACAATCAACTTCCGTGGATACTGAAGGCGGCCATCGCAAAATACTGCTGGAAAGAGGTTACCTTTTTTCACCTATAGAAGTCAAAAGTTGTGCCGAGAAAAACATGTATTTCGCCTTCCGTGCAGGGGTATATTCTTCAATTCGAAGAGCACCTCTGGAAGCACGAAACAACACTAATAGAAAGAGTTTTTTCAAAACACATAAAATTACAATATGTCAGTTTAGCCTTTCGCGTGCATCAAACGGGACTGTAATGGTTTAAAACAGGGCCAACGATATTGTTAGAGGTTCGTGGCAAACCTCGCCCACCTCGGTACCACTCACTGGAAGCGATTGAGCTTCCATTGTCAGATTCTATCCACTTTTTCCCGGTTCCCAGGATTTCTTGAAAACGAATTATAAAGTTTCGTAGGTAACTACGCCCCATCACCAACACTCACACACTTCCTTCTCTGAACTTCTCCACTTTTTGCCCAATCTCCGGACTTCTGAGAACCAAATTATAAGCCCGGTGGCATGCTCTGCCCCTTTGACGCACGCACTTCAATTATCAACGTTAATCCTTCTTCCCTTCTCTGAGTACATCTACTTTTTTTTACTCTCCCGGACTATTTGGAACAAAATTATGAATTTTTGGGGCATTTCCGCCCACTTTTGCGCGTTTCCCTCCCGCCTTTAGCTCGAACTCACCTTCCTCGTAACCTTATTCCGCCTTTTACCCAGTCTCCTCGACTTCTTGGAACCGAGTTATAAAAATAGTAGCAGACCCTGCCCACTTGTGTGCGCGTTGTGCCCATCATCAACACTTAACGTTCCCTCCTTCTTTGACCTCTTTCCCGCTCTCTGAGACTTCAACAAAATTATGAGCACTCATAGGAATCTCTGTTAGCTTCAGTACACGATCTGCCCATTGTGCACGGGCCTTGGCCTAACGTCATATGTTCTTTGAACACCTTGAGCACTGCTTCCCTACTCCGATCTTTTTTCTGCTCTAACGGGTTTCTCATAACCGAGTAATGATTTCTTCATAAACCACTGCTGCTTCTTTGGAAAACGTTCAGCCCACGGAAGGTGGTCTCCCTAATTCTAACTCACGAAAGTGCAACTTTACCCCCCTCGAGGCTGTTTTGTAATCAAACTTCGTGGTCGTCAGTACCGCTCATTTCGATGCATGCCGCGCCCACAGGCGTGGGCCGGCTCCGCCTGGCTAGTGTCGTATATACTTTTCGAGATATGTTACATCCATTCCTCATTTGACCCGGACCCCCTAGGTTGTTCACCTATTACGGAATTTCGTAACAGATGGACAGACATACATAGAGACAGACACACTTAGCGTATATATTAGGTTGTCCCAGAAGCTCGTGCGTATTCTTTGAGTCTTTCCTAAACTTACTTTATTCTAAGCACAAGCACTGTCTATCATCAATACATGCACCGTCACTATTGGTGAATCGTTGCCAACAAGCAACAGAAGAGTGACCGTTCAACTCCCAAAGACCGGCGGTTACGATCTGAAAAACCAATGAGGTCGATTCCGAGGTGCTTGAGGATCCTGTTTTTGGCAGATATCTTTCGGAAACGGATGACCTCCTCTTCCGGCTGAATATGATATGACTTCAGCTAAGCATCAAATTCCAGGGAGGTTATTTTTGAAAAGCGTGGTCTCGGTTGTCGTGGAACGGACATACTTTTTTTGAGTTTTAAGGATAGTTGTTAGAGGTTCGCCGTGAGCCTCTGCCGTTGATCACAGTAGATTTTACTGACTTCATAGTTGCGACGGAGAGGTTATTAACTCGAGAACGCCCCAAAAGAGAGGGAGCAAGGCCTTGTGGTGAACTTGTTCACATCTCAACCGCTTCTATTTGATGTAGCCCCTGGCAGTTCTGTGTTTGGTTGTCATGAAACCTGTACTTCTCCGCTGCAGTAACGGCTTTGTTCAACTTGTGCGTACGGGTGGAGTTTTACAGTCAAAACTCGTGTCGCATTCTTATCACCTATGGTCAATGGTCTTTGGAGTAGAGATAACTTCTATGAACTGTGCATTCGAAATGCCAGCGTGGAGTGGCCACACAGCACGTTGCTTGGTGGCATTGGCTTTCACGAGAGAGCGCAGCCTGTAAAGATCGACACCGATAGCTTTCACGAAAGATGGGTTATCTCCTGGCTGTAGTCTCCTGAGCAAGGAAGACCCATCCACTCTGACACCTCATAGCTGGCAACGACAAGGAGATATATCGCAAAGTAAATTTTACTTTCAAAGTCAATCGATTTGTGCTTCAGTAGGGCTTTTTCAGCGAAAGCGTGAAAAACATTGCTATTTTCCTTTCTCACTTTTACCTCGAAGAAGGCGACAGGACGGGCGTTATTCATCTGTATTATCTACAAATTATTTCCCTTCACAGCTTACGTAAACATAATTAGAAGTTCCTAAGGGAGCTTGTGGCATGAAATCCAAAAAAATATGCACGAACTCTTGAAACAACCTAACATCAGGGATTGTTTATGTTAGGCCCGCTTTAGATCAGTTGTCTGATGTTGGTATTATGAAATTTAGTATTTGAACAGTTGACACAACTTAAGACGCTCTTCTGCTGCCCAGACCTAGCGGAGATGTAAAGAAAAAACAATAATGTATAGTTTTTAGTTTAGATTTAATTCGTCTTTTTCGTAGTTAATTTCATTTTGACGCGGACTTTTCCCTTGTGCACTGTAGTATTCGAGGCCGTGACATTATGTGAGGATTGATTACAGCCCTTTCGGGATAGGGGTCGGATATTTTCAGGAGTTTATGTATAAGGTGAGTGCACGTGCTCCGTGCATGCTGGTAGGAATTGCATGTTCGTCAGCGTGACGTACCGACATGACGTGGGTCCAATATTCATCAAACTGGTTTCACCATACCACTTTACAGCGGATCTTCAGATTCGCGTGTAAGTTTATTGTACTGTTTGCTGATTTCTTCACCAAAAGCCCTTATCCATTTTTGTGTTTTGTTAATTTTATTGTTAAGCACCAGTATTATGTCTGAGGATTCTTAATGAACCCAGAAAGCAAACTGCAAAAATCGGCAGTAGTCACTGGCTCACGCAAGGATTTTGATTTGATAAAATATTTTCCTTCTTGAAGCCAGCCCCAGGATCACATTGGTGCGACTCTGGCACACGAATGCGAATGTGTTAGTGCGAAGTCTTCCGACAGTGAAAAAAAGAAAAATAATCCGTCGGAAACGCTTAGGTTGAGGGCTTGCTCTGCTTCCTTGTTGGCTGTGCCAAGGGAATGAGAGACTAGGTGCGGAGAGGAGAGTATGAGGCGCGTGAGCGCTACAGATGGGAGAGTGCCAAACAACAGCCTGATAAGAGACAAAAACTCTGCAGCTTTAGCAGCTTATTTTGCAAGGCCCCTCCGCTCTTGTCGGTTGGTTTCCGTGCACGGGAACGTCACATTTGTGATTGTCCTCTAGGGGTCCATACTATAGACCGATGGGAAGCTTAGTTGTGCCTCTGCTCTAGTTGTGCCTTTAATGTGATATAGTTCCAGGCTGGAGACTCTTTTTTCTGAGTTATTGCATGCCCTTAACAACGCAAAGACAGTGTTATACTAGCATGCCTATGTAGCCTTTTAGACAATACTTACAGAACCTGCTCATCTTGCGCGATAGTATATAGTGAGTCGTCATGGAAAATGCAGCGTTTCTTCACAGGTTGGAGAGCTGTATTGCTATACGTAGAAAAACCACACTTAAACATGGAAAGCCCTTCTCGTTGCAAAACCACAAGTGGTATCGAACGCACATCGTCGGGAAGTTCTCTTGATCTATGAAAATATGAAGAGAAACTAGAAAGCCTGTCCTTTCCGGCCCATGTCCACTAGTGAACGCTTCGTCGATCTGTTTGCATCCCACGCAGCTCCCCTCCGTATTTGTTTATGTATAAGCCATGATTCTCTAGCTGAAGGCACATCTTTCTCTTTTGAAGAATTACTACTTTTTATCTTTCTTCAACTGTTTACTGAAGTGTGAATCCCATCAACACCTTACTTCATGTTTCTAGTTGACTTAGTGATCCTAACTGTCATGTCATTGTCTATGACATTTGCTCAAAGGATGGTAATTCAGCGAAGTCCGTCCTAGAAACAAAAAGGCTGTAAAAAAGTTGCTCACAGCGGGTAGAGGTCAGCAATTTAGCGAACTCTTGCCAGGAAAGAATCTGTGCATTGCTTGAGCGCGTGATAATTAGAGGAAGCGAAGAAAGGGTGCTAGGGTTTCAGAGGTAAGTGGTACCTGTTCGAATTTATAATCCAGCGTCCTTGGAAAAAATAGACGAAAGCCCTCTTCATCACATGATTAACTGTAAATTCTTCAATCGTTCCTGGAACTAAGGTAAGTGCGTATCGTAATGCCGACAGTTCATCGTTGCGGACTTGCATCGCAGCACAGAATTTTTTCTCGGATAAAGGGTTATACTGCTTCAAAAACTGCTGCTTTCTGCTGCACCATTACACAGCTCAAAATCAAGGCAAAATTATCGGTGTGCAATATTCGAGACGGCTTCATTAAGCTCCTGCCTTTTCCTGTGGCCGGGTTCCGTTCACGGCAAATTAAAAATTCGCGATCCATCCCGAAATATTTTTTGTTTCCTCAAGTATTGAGAAAGAGGAGAACACGTGGGCATGGTAGTGAAATTTTGCACGCGCACTCAAGTGCTAGTGAAACCTTAAGGAAATATGGGCGATAATCTTTAGAATTCGCCGACATTAAGACAACCGAATTAAATGCAGTGTAAAAGTTTTCGAATAGGGATGAGAAAATAAAATCGGCGACTGTTTTGCGCGCCTGTTGACATGTACTTGGAGTTGAAAAAGATTACAAAGTACTGAATAAATAAATTTGAAAATGTTAGCGGATTGATTTTGCTGATTATGCAGCTCAACTTTGTTTGGTTTTCCTCAGGTTCTTCTACAATGACCATATAAGTAAATAATTAAATAAATAAAAAAAGACACAAATAAATAAGAAAATGAATAATTAAGTAAATCTGTAAATGCCTCGCTGTTTCATTCATCTTAATCTGACCTAATTCTAATTTCCTCATTCCTAATTTTCCTCATTTTTGCCGCTTTTAAATCATCATAATGCTCATTTTATCTTGAGACTGTTTCTGAAGGCTCACTGTCAGAATGAATTTCTACTACACGTGGGCACATGCGAACCACGACGATCTGTACAAAGTGAGAAAGCGTCGGAATAAATGTGAATGGACGCGTCTGGATTATTGTCAGTTTGCAGATATTATGATGTACACGTTGCTACCCATTCTATTGGCACATTCAATTGGTGGAAGTGCAGATGAATCCACGACGGCTTCTAGTGGCTCTTTCGTCGGCAAAGTATACGATAATGATGAAGAAATAGATCTCTGCGAAACCCCGGGGAAACTAAACGAGTGTAAGCAAAGAGGTGTAGCTCGCTCTAAATCATGTAGAACTGAACTCTTTACAGTCCACAAACACATAGAGCAACACTAGTAAACAAGCATCCATTGTCAACCATTAAATATTTGTCGGGCTTTCTAAAATATTATTACAGCGCTTTATTGCTACACCAGCACTATCAATTATCAGAGGCTGGACCTTGAGGTACTGAGCGAAGATCCTATTCTTGTTGTATTCAGAAAATTTGCCACCAACAAGTACGTCTCAGATTTTCTCGCGGATGCAGTACAGAAGGAGTTCCACACTGCGGTAAGCATCATTCTTATCACAACTAGTTTTTCTTTTAGATTTATTTTATGCGATATGACAGCGAGCTTGGTGTTGTTTTTCGAGCTCATAGGTACCACTCAAAGTGAAGTGAGTGCTTTTTCAGCTAGGGCTACGTGGTTTGGGTACTCTGAAGAGATAAGAATCTATGCGCAAGCATTCGAAAACGAGACATCTGTTAGTTCACCGCGAACGAATTCATGCATAAATATTGTCTTTTCTTCGGACCTACTTTTGAAGTGTATAAGCAATATACTCTGACCGAGAAACTTTTCTACAGAAAAACTGTTGAAACCTTTTCTCAAGAATACGACCCAACTTGAAAACTACATTCTGTTTCCAATCGAACCCATTCCACAAAACTCACCATTTTTCCTTCAAGCGGTTCTCCGATCTCCGTAATTGGTCATGGGATGGTGCAGTGTCTGAGACATGTAGTATGGAGTTGCGCCATTCCAACACGCTTAAAAGTTGCGATGTTATCAACAATCTACATGGCTAAAAAATGAAGAAGTTAGTTAGTAGGTAGTAGTAGTTAGTAGTAGAATAGTTTATGAGGCATCGACCCAACCTAATCTTCTCCAAGGGTTTTGGGGTCTCGATGAATAGCAAAACCGTCAAATCTTAATTTTTCGGTTGATCGTGTTACTGCTACACTTGAATTTTTCTCCACCATCTTTAGCGAAGCACTACAACAAACCTAACAGTGAGAGCCCCGTCTTTAAAATGGCAGTTTCCTGAACGGGACTTCTAGTACCATCACTCCCATTGACTCGCATATATCGTACCCTCCATCTATAACTCGTCAATATTCCTGACCGTTTTCTGGACGGTGTTCTCTTTTTACTTATCGGAAAAATGAACTTTCGCCCTTCCGCCTAAATGTCATAAATTTTGACGGTCATACGATGCTTACAGCTTGAATTTCGAGGGAAAATGCAGAAGGACTATCTTATAAGCACTGCTATAAAAAAACTAGACTGAGTAATACAAGTATTTATTCTGCTTGTTCCTTTTCCGCAATGTTTAAAAGCACCATAGAACACGCGAACTACTCATGCAGTGACCCCGTACAAAGGGTAGATAAGGGATTGCATACGAAAAACGAATAACAGGGTAGCAAGCGACCAAGTAAATTACTCAAACATTGCTTGGAATTAGTTGTTAGAAGAGAAATGTGCTACTTTCACGTTACTTAGTCGACTTCATCTCTTTACAGGAAGTGATGCACCCTAACGGAAGTTACTCCGATCACGTACTTAGGAAAGTTAATGGCGCGGCGATCAATCATGAAGAAACAAGTGGAGTGGCGAAAATGTTCGGAAGAGTAAAGACTATGTTACCTTCCGTTAATTTTGAGATCAGTGAGCCATGGCAGGTATGTGACCTCAAAAATTGCTGACTAATCGTTCCTAGGCAGTTCAGCTAGAGTAATATTGCAATAGAATGTACTATAAGCATGGCGGTAAAACTCTTCAAAAACGCACTTAGATGAGGATAGCTAGTAAAAAATTATCGGTCATTGTTTGTGAGCGCATGTGTTGTTTGCAGTAAAGCTGGCGATGGTTAATGTCCAGATTTTAAGAACCTGATCGATCGACCACAATTATTGGATGTCTATAGGTTCTGGAGCCTATAGACATCCAATAATTGGTTCTGAAGCCTAAGCTGTTTTTGTCCTGGACTGTTTTATTATATCTCTAACTTAATAACTCGAGAAACAATACATTTTCTGATATTCAACTCGTTGCCTACGCAAGGGAAAACAGCCATACTCTCCTGCAAAATCCCGTGAACTTCTGGTAGGAAAGCCGAAAATATTAAGGTCTTCTTAGATCCTATCGGTTGGCCAAATTTCATTTCCGAAGAATTGAGCTAGACAGAGCGCAGGTGATCATGCGTTGGCAAGAGATTGAGGCTACGAAGTATAGGCACAGAAGCATTTTGAGCTGCAAGTAAGCGAAACTTCTATGCAACAGATTGCTTTCATTGATGTTCAACGTGGGTAACTAATCTTGATCACAATAATGGAATTCCGACCAAATACGTGTTATGGCTATTAGATCTCAAATTTCACTTTGGTGGTTTCGGAATTATTTTGAACGTTGTTGTTTCAGTAAAAACATACATATTACAATGCGAATAGGTTGGCATTCACTTCTCTTACTCTTTTTCATCATCATGTTTACTTCACTGAAAAGAAAATGAGCAGTGAACTGAATGGATCTTTCCGTAAGGTCCGAAAGCCTCTGCCAAACTAAGGAATGTCTGGCAACTCGTGAGCCACGTGGTTTTTTGTTATCTTCATGTATGGCCCATAGCATGAACCTAAAGTATAATACTTGGGAGAAACTCGGGGATGTGCGAAAAGAGGAAATGTAATGGGTGTAGCATACATAGTTGCCACAATGCCCAAGATGGGGTGAAAATTGCAGCATAGTATATGTTGTCGCGCTGTCGCTAGGGTGTTGAAAGTGCAAAATCGTCGGAGCTAGACAACTGCCGTTTTTGAATTTGATAGTTTACCAAACTGCACCCACTGCCACTAGTGGTAGCCTCGTTCAGAAGTCAAGCAGCCGAGGAAAATCGGAATAAATATGGGATCAAATCGTAAGCAAAATGAGCCTATGGGGGAGGCTTTGATTTTTTATATAAGCCACAAAATACAGCCAGCAAGTAAGCCTCCTAGATTTTCGAAAAGCCGGCTTGGGTGCTTATTTGCGAGGCACGTCTCGAGCCTTCAAAATTTTTCTACAAATTTTTGTAGCAATGAAAGTGAATTGTAAAGTGCTTGGAATTATAGAGCCACAGCTTCAATCTAACCTATGTTTCATACTGCACACTCAATACATGTTAACAAATCAGGTCCTCCTATACAATAGTGGAGGATATTGCGCACTTCATTACGATTATCTCAACTACTCCTCGCCGAAAGAGTGGGACACATGGAGACGAGACTATGGAGATCGATTCGCAACTTTCCTGCTGGTGCTTCAACCAGCAATTAAAGGAGGAGGTTGGTTAAGGGAAATACTAACTTCTAATTTTTTTAACGTATAATGTCAGGTTGAGGAAAAATTTCATTTTTTCCGAATTCTCCCGGAAAAAAGATGGTTCTCGTAGTGGGGGCAGGCGGAAGGTTCCCAATTTCGGCAGCTATGTCAACTTCCTAGGAATAGCTGTAAAGCAATAGTGAATTTAGTCGCCTGAAACCATCTGTAAACTTTTCTTTTTCGTAAATCCTACAAATGCCAAATTTTGACACCCAATGCCTTGTACATTTGCGCTGTATCCAAAAAAACTCGAAATATCCTAGCTTGGTACCCATGCTCGACATCAGCGCCTTCTTTACAGAGACACTCCTTTGAAGATTCATTTTTCTTGATGCACGTACTTTGTGAGCGACGAATCGTAACCCAATTCATTGGAAGTGAGGGCCATTGCCATTACTCACGAATCGTAGCGACGCTTGGGCGCCTGTCTAAAATTTGATGAGCATGCTCAAAATGAGCGGAGTTTCTTCTACGGAGAGTGTACAGCCTACCCGGTCGTGTTTTCTGATCATCATAGCTCTGTTCCAAGAGGGAGAAAGAGGGGTAAAATAAGCATGGCAAGTACAGATAATATATTTATAACTAATGGAGAATTTGCAGGGACCGTTTTCCCCTTATTAGGTGCAACAGTCATGCCTTCATCAGGAGATGCACTGTTCTGGACAAACATGAACGCAAGGGAAGAAGTGGTAATCGCGCAAGTTTTCTTAGTTTCTGAAACTCTCTATAGAGTACAAAGCCGAACAAACATAAATGTATGCGCTTCACACCTCTGAGCTGCAATCTGTGCGCTAAATCAGAACCTCGCTTTTCTAAAAGGAAAAGTCAGATTTTGAGCCATTGTCCGTCACAGCTTTCTGGAGAAGAAGTCTATTTTTACTTTTCAGTGAGCTCTATCACTTGGCCTATCTCTTTTCGCGATCTGTTCTATTATTGCTAATGATTCCTTCGAAAGCACGTGACACATGCCACCAATGCGTTTGCTTTTGTCATTTTACATAATTAATTCACTACCCAGATGAACGACCATCCAGTTGGTCTAAATAATACACTTTCTCCTGCATACACCTTCTCTAATAATTGCGAATAACGTCTTCATGAAAGGGATTCAGTGTATCCTTAACGAAGGTGTATACAGTTTCATGCATGAAAATTACTTCCATAAAAGAAAGCTCACAAAAACCACTTTGTGACCGAGATGGTATGACAGGCAAAGCTAAAGAGGGCGCATGGAGCGGCATTGAAAGCGCCGTAAGGCGGAATAAGCAGTGTAAAAACACGAGCGAAATCGATTCAGCGTTTGTCCATAAGAATACTCAGCCTTTTTTCAAAAATTTCTATGTAAGCTCGCGACAGGAGGTAAGTTGCTAATCAGAAATTTTCAGGATCTTGATAGTCTACACGGTGGTTGCGCTGTCTGGGAAGGTGAAAAAGTGACAGCTGCGCTGTGGATCCGAGCCAATGGACAGGATCTTATCCGATCCGCACGGCAAAATGGCAGGATGGACATCAGAAAATTAGTTCACCCTCAAATTGAGTTAATTGGGAAAACATTAGCTTACAAATGATGCGGCAGTGATCAATATCTACCCTTTTAGTGCGTTTGAATATCTCAATAAAATGTTGTCAAATATTTTGGTACACATTGTTATTCACTACCACTCCCCCGCCCAGCTGCTACCGAGCTATAATTTGTGTGACGACTCCTGAACACGGCTAACGCCAGGCTCTATTCGTCTCCTCTGTAAGGTATGTAACGCTATCGGCATTCGTGAGCAAAGCACATTTTCAGCGCTCAAAAAGGATGTTGCGATGAAAACCTTGCAAAATATATGAATCATCATAAGCAATAGCTGCGCATAAACAGTTCATACAAATTGTAATTTTGATCTTTCATGGCAGTATATGTGCATGGTTACGGTGGTTCGTAACTGCATTCTACACTAACGTTATTTAAGCTTCTGTAGAACGAACGCGATATGACGTTCGGGTTCACCATCAGTCGGACCTGTGATTTCTTGACCCTAGTGCTGAGTCCTATTGGATTCTGCCGGCACTCGGTAATTGAATGAACTGTGGTTAGCATATGCGTCTGCGTCGTATGTTCCAGCTGTTGATATTTTATTCCGGGTAATGTTCTAGTTGTTGTTCTACCAACTTGTTAGGCTTTTTGGGTTCCTGTTCGAAAAAATATGCAGCAGGGAAGCTAGCTAATACGTTGCGTCGGTGTAGCATATATAAAGAAAGATGGTGTAGTTGAATATTGCGAACACCAAGGGCCGCGGTCCCGGATGCTCGACAAAAACCGACATAGAATATTCAGAGAGTCTAACTCGTGGGTGTTCTGTGTCGGCTGAGCTACCCACAATTCACTGTGCAAATCACATCGCGATCAAAAACTGTTACGATTCTGGGACTCCAATGCGCGACACTTCCCAGGAAAACTTAATTAAGCTTGACTGCCCTATTTATCATTGCGCCTTGCATAACTTTTCAACCTAGCCTCCATTTCACTTTTGATAGCAACCAGAGAACGGGGCGTGCTGTAACCGACCAAAGGTTTCAACTTTTGTGTGCATGTATTTGAGGTTTTGCCCGCATCACTTCTCTATCATGCAGTCGGTTTTGCTCATTCTGTCCAAGACAAGGAAAAGTGCTGTGATGACGTGTCGAATTTTTTGTATGTGAATTATTGTTGTCGATTCTGCTTTGAACAAAATGCGTAACCGCTTGTACTTTAGCGTTCGATTTGATTTCAATCCGGAGCATCAGCAATATGAAGTATCCAACAGTGGTTTGCATAGAGCGAAGCTGTGGTAGGAATAATATGAGTGCTATGTAGGACCAGAATCCCAGCAAATAGTACGACGACCTCCTGACAGATACACGTACCTTGCCAAACCGAATCAAAGTGTTTTTGTTGGAACCAAGCTTTGGTAAAATATCTGTCATCCTGAGCGCCGGTAGGTGATCCTTCCCATCTGGAAAACCATGCGCTACATCCTGAAATTCCCACACTCATAAAGCTTTGTAGGCGCTGGCCTTCGTAGTCGCAAGGCTCTAGATATGGTTCCTAATTTCATGTCGTTTCCCGATGTACTGTACCTCCCATCAAGGTAACTACCCACACGGTTCGTGATAAATGGTACCACACTTGTGAGATGGGAGGCGCGTAACGTGCATCGGGAAGGGCAACTTTCCACTACATAGTCTCCTCAAAAGGCCTGCCGTTTGGTCACGTCGGCAATTTTTAACGAAGCGGATCACTTTGCTGCATTTGTAAAGAGGCACAGGCAATAGATGAGTACTGCGTTTTTGGCAGAATTGGATGAAAAACTTTTTGAGACAGGAGAAAGTTCGAGAACTTTTTTTGGAGAGCTCGCGAATTTTAGAAAAGGAGTTCCCATCATTCAGTCTTCTCATACCTCCCCCTCTCCAGAAGAGGCCTCGAAAGCATCGGGTTGGTGGGGCTGTATGGTTCGCAATAATTATAAGTTTGAAATATAAGTAAATACAAGATCTAATAAAAAGTTTAAGTGTTTACTGCGAAGATCATGAAGAAAATACACTAATATTTGAATCCCGACTGGGGCACGAAAGTTCTGTCCACAACTCAGCAATGATATGTAATATTTGGACGTTTTACTTATTTATTTTTCGACTTTTTATTTATTGCCATCGAAGAATGATGATGGCGTGATCTCACGACATACTTTCTGCTTGTTCGGTCTTCATCGCATGAATGTATGGAAAGCGATTTGTTGCGAACCCCAGAATCAATCCCACTCGGAGATAGCGGAATACATTTTTGGGGAAATATCCTGTTGATTATATTTTCTATTCAGGGCTTTACAATGAATCTCGTTTGCCTTATCGCAATTCAAATTGCAATTGGGATAGATTTTGTGTTATCCTATGAAATTCACGGTTGGCGAGACGACTATCGAGAATGGTGCCTGGTCCCACAATCCCAAGACGATCCAAGTGGAATGAGTGAGTTCGCTTCATGCCCTTTTTCTTATTTTTTGTAGAATTATTTACTTGAGTATTGTACAGCGGTAATAGGGACAGAGAGATACGAGATGACGACAGTCACAATGAAGTAGAATAAAATATTAGGTTGTTACATCGTTTCCGATCATCAATTATTTTCATTATAAAAACAGTAATGAAGCACATCAACCTGAACCATCTCCTCCACCTGTGTCACAGGCTTATCACCTTTCGTTACGCGATGCATGGATGCCTACCGCGTAGAACTCTTTCTGGTTCGACTCGAAGAAGATGGACACTCAAATTTTGACGTCGTTGCGGTTATCGAATTGGTCGGCTGGTTAGCAGAGTCGCGCTGACGGGTCAGTGATAGTCGAACGACGCCAGACCTGGGCTAGATGGCGCGAGATGCAGAGCGTCCCACCCCAACCCTCGGTTTCTTGTTGAAAGATTTTCGCGACATGTGGTCTTGCATTATCGTGCCATGATTCTTCATTGGCCGAAATTACCCTTTGGCGACGCGGAGCTCGGCCCACGTGGTTGGAGTTGTTATACGCAGAGTTCTGTAAGTGTATAACCCACAATCGGCATTCCCTGGTACACCGCTGCTATACTATATCACTATATAAAAACCTGACTTTGTCTCCGTGGATGCCTGGTTTCAAAGTCACCCTCAGCTGTCCATCAGCCGCCAACCACAGTAGTCTTCGCTCGTTGTTAATGGGAAACATCTCTTTGTGAAGTGCGGTCAGCAAGAAGTGAAGTACTTTTCTCCTCTTGAAGTTATGGAGCGAAGTTCCAGCATTGGCAACCAGTACTGCTTGCTCGCGTCGCTCACAGTAGGCCAAAACCGTTTTCTATCCTGAAAGGCCTCAACAGTCGCACGTAGGAACTTTTGAATTTTTTTCTTGACACAACTGTATCTCCATGCAAGTTCTGTGCGGTTTGTCGAGGACTCAATTCGTTGGCTTTCTTTATTTCTCCGTCATCTAGAGCTAGAGGTCAAAATCCGCGATCTTCTCCCTCAGGTCCTTTACCTCAATGGAAGAGATGAAACCATAGCTGGAAGTGCATCAGAGACTAAGTGTTACTGCTCAATCTTTTGCACACAATGAGTGAGATTCGTTGGCCTATTCTTGTTGCTTGAATATATACTCTCTGACGATGATTTCTGATCGGTGACCTTCAAGCAAAAGTTTTGAATCGAAGAACATCAGCTCAGCGGCGCCTAATGTTTTGCAATGTGCGTGTTGAATCGTTCTCTCGAATGAATTGTCTCCCTTCCTAAGGGATTGTGTTTAAGCTGAGAAACAAAGGCACAAATGGAAGCGACATTTCAACTGTTCCAACCTAATAGATTTGAAGTTATATAGATTAAGCTGCACAAAGTAGTGTTGTAGAAGTAAAGTAATAATAATAATACTAATAAAACAATAATAATGTAATAAAATAATAGTAATAATAAATAACATAATAACAAAAACATTAGTAAATAATAATAATAATCATAATAATAATAAATAATAAGTAATATTAATAATAATAATAATAACAATAATAATAATAATAATAATAATAATAATAATAATAGTATAATAATAATCATATAATAATATATAGTAATATATGAAAGCGTATGTGAGTGAGAGGGCGAGGAAGAGGCCATGGCTCGCCAAGAAAGAGGAATTACAGAAGTCAAACACTGCAACCCGCTAGGAGGGACGGAGCTCCGCATACCAGCTTAGTTTGGTCCTCCAACCTTCTGAAAAATTCAATGCTCCTCTAGGGAATTAGATAGAGTGGAAAAAAAGAAAAGACCATGAAGAGTGGCATTTAAGATAATAATGTATTAATGCATAGGAGATACATAAAAACTACAAAACATTTTCAGATTTTATATAACCTGCAGATAATAAAAGTTACGCGTGTTACCTGGATTTTGAGTGGGACTGAATTTGGAGGGAAAAGAAAAGTAAATGGCAGGAATGAGGGGAAGAGAAGAGATACATACACAGAGGAATAGGAAGGAACTTCATTGAAATACTGGAAAATTGAGCGGTAAGGAAGAGGGCACTGCTTGTGATGACGTGCTTTAACCTTAACGCAGATTGCTACGTTAATCACGTTCAGTTCAGTTTACTCTTACATGTAGTATGTCAATGGCTCCACACCAAACCGTAGTATTTCGTACGCGGATGAGCGCATGGTTCATTGTCAAGAAGGGCTTGTAGATATTCGTGTTTTTTAGAATGCAACCTACTTTATTCCCCACCGTCGAGCCAGTGGATTCATTTGTGTGCATCATCGAAAGGGCAGCGAATAGGTAGCTAAAAGCTTAGTCGGTGTGTTTGTAACTCTTGCTTCTAAAGGGGTTCCACCGACTTGGCCGATTTACTATTACTCCATGATTTGTGCACCATTTTTTTTGAAGATAAATCCAACTAAAATAAAATTTGCATTTTGAAAATGAAACTGAGATAGACAGCTAATAAGATGAAGAAGTTGCAGAAAGCGTTAGAAATCGAAGGACTCAGGCGATGGATGGGTCTGTTACTGGGTGTTTAAATACGAAGTAGACAAGAGAGCATAACGTAAGAGAGAGACGCAGGCTTCCTGCTACGCGGACTGTGATACAGCGGCTCGTGCGCTTTAGAGGACGAAAGGGCGCAAAGACTCCGACCCGGTCGTCCTTTATGGAATGAAGTCACAAACCTGATGACTTTCTTGTGCATTTCCGAGTCTCTGAAAATGCGCACGTATTGTAGCCATGGGGATTCTAAATTGATCTGACAGCATTCCTGCCTAATTGCTTCCACTTTCACACATAGACATGCTTCTTTTCATTTCTATCCTTGGAAGTGAACGATATTATCCAAAATTGACATATTTAGATAGAATAAGAAAAAAATTCCATAGAAATTTGTCAACCTGGAAGATATGAAAACATTGCAGTGTTCGTGTGCTTATCCTATGTATGGAACTTCGCGCATGTACATGTGGAACTGTTAAGCTTCGAACCTGTGATCATCGTCTATAGAAACTTCATACCACGTTCAAATGTGAAGGCGTTTTTGAAGGACATTGATGAGAAAAAGGTAACTTTACAAAAACTCTAGTAGACTCTTCTACTATATACATCTATAGAAACAGGAATACTGAAACGAAGCTTCAGTTATGTTACCAAAAAAAGTTTACGTGAGGCTTCTTACCTTTGAGAGAAAAAATTCTTAGTAGTGTAGTGTAGTGGCAAGTGGCACGCTTACCACGCAAGCGGTCCAGGGATAAAATCTTAGGTCGTGAGTCGCTCGGGCCAAACAAGCATTCCATCCCTCCGGGGATAATAATTAATTAATTAATTAATTGGTACAAAAAATGATTGATAAACGGCAAATGCTTATCTTTATCCTTATATGGTAGCGTAGGTTCTACTGTAACCACGTTCGTGGTGGTGCTCGCAGTGTCATATGATATCGATTTGTTTTCGCTTTCTGCGCACCCCTGACGAGGGCCACGACGAGAGCATGGTTGCCAACGGAGGCGGCAATGCGTTAGAAAATATGAAGGTACTGTGGTTCAAATGCACGAACGTGCGGCTACAAGTAAGGCCTTGCTCCTCAGCAAGGAGTGAGGGCAATACGATGTTCGCCTCGCCGCGCAAGCAGCGAGAAGTGCGCCTGTGCTTCCCACAAAGCGCCGTGAGGTTCCTGGAGGGCTGCCTCGGGAGGTCGCGGAAGGAGAAGCTATACCGTTGCAGGCTTGGTCTTTATCAAAGGAACTCTCTGCACCCGGTCGAATTACGTGAGGCTTCTTTTTCCATTGCTCAACAGCGCGCTCCAGTGCAATGTGGTTGAGGCGAAACCTAGGCGACCATAGTGGTGAACTGTTCTTGTCTTACCTTTTGCACGAAGGCCGGGGAATTATGCTCTGCAAACCTCACAACACAAATGATGAAGGCTCCCAAGAAGACATGATAGTGGTTTGCGGGGATACA